ATATTCGAAACTTTGTCCTTTTGTTCCCTCTTGAAGCAAAGTGAAGCCACCCTCTCAGATGTCACCCAGTAAGTCTGTTGGAGGAGAGTTCTGCGTTGCTGCCATCTTTGCCTCATCCCGCTCCTGGTTCATCACCAATCCTAACATGAAAAGAGAAAAAGGTTAGAGCGAGAGTTTTCTTTCTGTGTTTTTGTTGTCTTGGACAAAGACTATGCAAATGCTTATGCATGTTACAGTTTATTTTAAAATATGTTCCATTTGTTTTTGTCCTTGTTTCCTCTCACCTCAGATCAGTCCCGACAGTCAGTAGTTGACTCGCTGTACATAATGAGTTGCTACGGTAACTTAGTGGAGCATGTTCTGGAGCCTCGGCCACTTAGCACTGCACAAAAGATAAGCGACGATACTCCTTTGGAGCTCAGTACCTCTCCAAGAGCATGCTGGATTTTAGCAAGGTATGAGCATGTTACTCATGTCCATGTCTTCAGAAAAACGTTCTAATTCTGCTGTTCCTAAAGGTTCTCTACTCTCTGCTGCAGGACTCCACAATGGAACGAGCTACAGCCACCATTCAGCTCCAACCATCCTCTTTTGTTGGCCTCTGATCTGGTGCAGTATTATCAGTATCTTCTTGCTGGTGAGTGCTGCTCACAGTCTATTGTTTGGTGTTCACAAGTTTTACACTAAGTACCTTATTCAAAACTTCAGTTTGTGTTCAAGAAGGGTATAAATCAACTTTTATGGAGGGAGAATGTACAAAAATGTGTCAGTGTGGATTTGTCACATTTGTTTGACAGATACGTTCTTTAATATTTAGTTTTTAAAGGAAGTCAGATTCTAGTTAAACAATACAGCTCAGCTTTAGCATGGTGTACTACATGTTTCATTTGTTGAATGTTTAAATATAAATATTACAAAACATAATTGGAGTTGAGGTGGTTCACACATCTGGAAAAGATGCTCCCTGGGCGCCTCCCTAGAGAGGTTCTTCAGGCATGTCCGACTGGGAGAAGACCCCGGGGAAGACCCCAGACACGCTGGAGACATTATGTCTCTCTGTTGGTCTGGGAACACTTTGGAGTCCTCCCAGAAGAACTGGAAGAGGTTGTGGACAGAGATGTCTGGACCTCCCTGCTCAAGATGCTGCCCCAAGACCTGAGTCCAGAACAAGAGGAAGATGATGGATGATGGATGGATTTTGGATGGATGATGATGGATGGATGGAGGATGGATGGATGGATGGCAGATGGATGGATGGAGGAAGGATGGATGGTAGATGGATGGAGGGAGAATGGATGTATGGTGGATGGATGCTGGATGGATTGTGGATGGATGAATGACAGATGGAGGATGAATGGGTGGATGGATGAATGATATATGGTGGATGGATGGTGGATGGATGGATGGATGGATGGATGGGTGGATTGATGGATGATGGATGGAGGATGAATGGTGGATGGATGATGAGTGGATTGTGGATGGATGAATGACAGATGAATGATTGATGGATGAATGGTGGATGGATGGATGAATGGTGGATGGATGGATGATGGATGAAT